GAGCCACCGCTGAGTAAAGGTAGGTTTATTTAGAGAGATACACACTGCACAGAGTGTAAGGCCAGAGAAAGGCCAGGAAGGAGGTGCAGGAATCGGGTGCTCAGGTTAGAGTAAAACTAGGCACACACTCCATAGACAGAGCGCGGGTGTCTCTAAAGGGGAGACAGAGCGCCAAGGGCCGCTCGGCGTGGTGGTGTCACTTTTTATGGGCTTGGTAGCTGCACAGGCCTACAGGTGGGACCCTTCCAACTGCCCTGGGGGGGGGACTGGGAGTCCCAGGAATTGGGCCACCACCCATTCTTTGGCCTTTTTCGGTGAGCCTTGGGACTGTCATGGCGCCTGCGGGCGTGTTATTTGATCCCGCTGTTACAATGAGCATATAATGAAGCTCAAGGTCTACTAGGAGTCAAACCTCTTAATCCTCAGGGCCAACTAGGAGGTGAATCTTCCAGCATTTTTGTGTTAAATTGCTGTCATTCCTTGAGGGGCTGCCCTGCCCCCTTCCCTCCTGTCTCTTCAAGACCGGGCAGGCCTGGAAGGACCCCCATCTCAGACCGGCCAGCAAGGCTCCGGAGCCCTGATCTCCACCCTCTAAGACCAGGGTATTAACATCCACTGGGAGAGTGGCTGTTGCACACGGGGGACGGGGACAGGGACAGGGATGCCATTATGGCTGCAACCCCGGGACAGGCGTGTCCGTCTTGATCCTTTCTGTTGCAATGATATAGGTGCCTGATCCGAGGTGGTTTAAGCAAAAAGGGAATTACTAGCTCCTGTGACTGATGGGTCCCTGCAGGTGGGGCTTGACCAGGTCTTCAGATCCAGATTCTTTCCTTCCGTCTCTTGACTGCCTCTGCGTGTGTGTTGGCCTCACTGACGGGCCAACTTTCACCTCACCTCCTCCAGGCTCAAAGTGTGCAAGGGCTGGCTCTCAGGAGCCCCAGCCAGCACCTCACCTCCACCTCTGGCTGGGTGATCTGACCAGCCCTGAATCAACCAACCTGACCCAAGGACTGCGACACCCCTGCTGGCCAGGCCCAGCCACATCCGGCCCCTGCCCCAGAGATAGGGGAGAGCTGAGACCACCTGAGCTGAGTGGACCTAAGGGGGCTCCCAGAGGGCCTCTGGGACCTGGAGTCTGGAGACAGGGACAAGGGTGTGGGCTCACACAGGCAGCAGGGGTCCAGCTGCAGGGAGGGGTGGGACTGAGGCCAGGGAGCCCACGGATGCCACGGGCAGGCAGTACAGTCTACCAGCCGAGACTTGGGAGTCCCTGGGGCATGTGGGGCATTGTGCTGGGCAAAGGACCACAGAGCCAAATGACCCCAGGGCCTTTGCTCAGGAGGCTAGTCACTTAGTGGGACATTTGGACCTCACTCCGGAGAAAAGGAAGGATAGGGGCGGAAACGTTCTGACCTGTGAAGACAAGTGTGGATGGTGCTGGGGGCTAGGGGTGGGGCAGCAGGGCGGAGCAGGGAAGCTGTGGTGGGAGCCTAGGCGAGCCCCTGGAGAGCTCCGAGTGCAGGAGCTCACAGAACAGGCCTGGAGTCAACCTTAGGGGGTACCCGCCACGTGGTTTGAAAGACAGGGTCCTGGGCAGACCTGACTGGACCTCATGCGTGATAATCCCTGCTTTCTCTGCTGGGGACGTGAGCTTTGGTTCCTGCTGAAGCTGAGTCCTGATTAATTGTGTGGTCATATCCCGCTGCTGTAAAACGGGGTGCTTCCGCGGCTGGGGCTCACAGACCAGGACCTGCCCGGAGGACTCCCATTTGTTGTGCATGAGTGTTCCTTGAGCCTGAGTGCCCTGGGGGCTCCCGGCTCTCACCACCAGTGCCTGCTACTCCTGACACCACAGTGGCCTGGAGGCCACAAATCCTTTGGGACTGGCTACTCCCCTCTTGGGACAGGGGTGCACTTGAACTGACTCCCTACCTTTTATTTTGCTGTAATGCAGAATGAAATTGCAAAACATCAAGTGATTAATATATGTAAATGTTCCTCTTTAAAAAAAAAACTCTGGGTAATGGGTTTAATCACCCAAATCTCCAAGAACACACCCAAGGGTGCGTCTGTCTGTAATCATCCTCTTCCTGATCTAAGCCAAGCCAGGAGCAGATTCGAAGTGTTACCACAAACAGGGCCACATCCCACATCCTTCAGGGCTTGGAGCTGGGTTGTGAGCCAGAAGGGAGGGGCTCGGGAGGGGCCGCATCCCAGCAGGAGAGGAAGGGACACTGATGTTTTCATTTCAGGGGAGAGAGCTTTATTTTTAATATAAAAACAATTCATCACTCTTGTAAAAGTCCAGAAAAATACCAAGAGGAACATAAACATCACATGGAATTCCCCCCAGAGTCTTAACTCCTGCCATGTCTGCAGGCGGCCGGACGTGCCTCCGGAAGCCTCTTTTCCACAGATACCCAGAGACCACGGAATTCTGTGTGGGATAAGTGGGCTCACGCTGTTTATGCAGTGTGACATCTGCTTTTCTCTTTTGAATTTGATGTGAGCATTTTCCATGGCAATTAATGTGGATCTTCACATCCTTCTGGATGGCCGCGTGGTGGTCTCATGTCTTGTTCTGCGCAGGGGAGGGTCCTAAAGGCCAGGCTGTGGCGTGGCAGGCCATTGGCCGGGACTCATTCACCTGGCAAAGGTGTGGGTCCGCTGTGTGCCCAGTAAGAGGAGAGGAATGATGTGAGTGCACAGCTGGCGGTTCCCAGCACTCCTCTGTCTGGTGGGTTCCTGGAAAGAAGACCACTCCATCGAATGGTCAAGCCTCGTGTTCCATCCTAACCGCTTGTGCTTGCGGATGTGGCAAAGTGTATATGTGCCAGGCACTGAGCCAGGCCCCGGGACGCACAGTGAGTAAAAACCAGTGTGAGCTCTGCTCTCACAGACTGTCTGATGGGAAGCAGGCATCAGTCAACTGATTACCCAAGTGAGTGTGTAAAATTATACCCAGGGATAGGGCTTTAAAGGATAGGGACGTGGGCCTGTGAGCATTTAAAAGGGGTAACAGTTAACTGGGTGCAGTACGTTGCCTGCACGTGTGTGTGTGTGTTTGTACACTTGCACATAAGGTGAGGGATGGCAAGTAGGAAGAGAATTCCAGGAAGCACGTGCAGCACATGCAAAGGTCCTGGGGCAGGAGGCAGCATAGGCTGTTGGGGAGAAACTGGAAG